GACGGTTCCATTCGTCTAAGTGGAAGCTCGAACGAGAAAGATCGTCGCCATTTGATTTTCCTGCGGAGCGGTATGGCTTAGCAGCGGCTTAACAAATTCCTGTCGGAATGGTTTCAGTATGCACACCCAGCGTGCGACGCGACGTGTGCCACTGAATCGAGGAGACATAAAGGCATGCACGGCGAGGACGCGCGATACGGATTTAGGTCCCCAGGGCGCGCACCGCGGCGCGAGGAACGAGCGGGAACGCTCGGGAAGAAAAGAGAGGCCTAGCTGGTCGTCAAAGAGAGGCTAAGACGCGTTGCACCTTGAACGAGCGATGAACGGCTCGTTGACCAACACTCGGTCCATCGTCGAGAGGTCCATAATGCTCGTAACACCCTCTTCAGAAACGCCAAGCGCCTTATTCACGTGGAGCCCCATGAAAGCTCATAATATCCAGGAGCAACAAGGGCGCTTGCGCACGCGCGACCACGAGACGTCCAGACTCTCTCTCTTCCGCGGCCATAATTACGAGACGTTAATTACGCGATGAATGCACCCGCGGCATAGGAGAGCCGCGTCACTCGAGAGCGGTGAGCTTTCAAGGGTAATGCAGCAGCCACTCAGGTACACCAGATGGTGTCGATTCGTTGGAGTTCGCTCTTTTATCCACGCACGAGTGTTATTCTACCTCGCGTTCGAGTGTAACAATAAGAATCGCATCTGCCTAATCGCCCGTTACCTCGGCCCGACTGCGAATTCCGCGAGTTCGCCCGACGCCATCTTCCCGCCGTGTTTTCCGCCACCTTTTCCTCCGTGTTGCTCCGTTTTTACTACAAGGGAAAACAGCCCGTGGCAACGCGGCAGAAACGACGTTAGCGATCGCAATATCAATTTGTAAAGCGCGAGTATCGCGGGGTATTAGGATTACGAGGCCACTCGATCTTCGATGCAGGAACGCGGTAGGTACACCGCGCTCCGTGGCAACGATCGCCGAGCGCAGCTATTCGCCAAGTTAACTCGCGTTCTTAATTAGCAACGAACCTACTTTCAGGTGTTTTTCAAACCGTAAATCAATGATTCGCAAAGTAGCTCGAGGTCGATGACCCGCGGCAGTTCACGCGGATGCGAGCGAAGAAATTCCGCTCGGGGACGCACCATCGAGCACCACCGAATACTCAAACCGCCGGCAGATAAGCCGTCGACGAACTACCTCTGGAATTTACCTGCTATTACCTTTCCACGTTTTTTCTCGCTCCCATCCGACCTAGGCACTCCGTTTCGATCTAGTTTCCGCTCCTCGTCAACTCCGCGCTCGATCCTACCCGGCTGCTGCGTAAACCTCTTCCGCGAGATGGATCGGCGAAACGTCGGCAAGAGAAAATGTTTAACGCGATGAACGAAGACGCGATTGATGCAAGACGGACAGGCTTGATGAAAAAGGAACGTGGAAAATCGTAATTAAACTCGGCAGTGTACTCGCACGAGTGTACAGCGTGGATAATTTTAATGACGCGAGGTAAGCGCGTGTACGTGACTCGATAGCGGGAATATAGCCAATGCTAAATAATTCCGGGATTCGAATTGGCTAAGGATTTGGAGTCGAATCAAAGGTTCGCCGTGAGTTTGGTCCAGGATAATAAGCCGAATGGCGCGTTTTCGTGCTCCATTTCGCCCTAGAATATCACCGATGATATTTTCTCCGGATTTATACGCGACGATAAACGAACGAAAACGAAAGAAGACCAGCCGAATGGCACGTAACGTCTCTCGTGAATTATCATTATTCCTACCATCGATAAGGTTCTATTACTTTCATCGTCGGTGATACGCTCGGGCAGCCGGCGCCCTGCTATCAAGGCCTTGCACAAATTTATAGCCGATGCATGGTTTATCGAGCAGTTCGGCAATTAAATCGCAGTTTATATTAAGCCAGTCTGCGAAATCCATAAAGGGTTATTACCGTTGGAGATAAACCGACAGGAGGGGACACCCAGATCTCCATGGGCGTTGGACAAGCCATCGCTTTCAATTAAATTAAGCCAAATTACGCGCAGGAAAGTGAATAATCATCGAGTTGGAAAATACGGGACTGTCCGTATTTTTCGTTGCGAACCGCGTTACACGAGCGTTCTCCTCGCGTTTCGTCCTACTCGTTCCATTTTCACCGATTCGATTACGATCCGATCTTTTGTCTAACTCGCGGAAGCAATTTCTTCCATTTTAGTTGCACGCTATCGTCGAAATCGCGGAGTAATATCCTCGGAGGGTTGGTTGCGCGGTCGAACGGGTCTTTGAAAGTTGGGTAATTATCGTGGAATGGAGCGATGGACCAGACCGAAGGAGAGCTGGATTTGTCAGCGAGACGTTAAATAATATTCAAAGACACGGTCGGCGTTTGAAAAGCCGCTCTCGAATACGGGTGCACTGTATAACAATCGCTACACCCCCATCGACGAAATTCAAACAAAATCCCGGCCCTTTATAGTTTTAAACATATCGGCTTTTAACGTGATCGATTTTACACGCGTACACCCCGCTTGGCTCGTTCAACGGCAAATAAATAAATAAAAGGGTAGAGGCGAGATTTTATCGAAATCTTTTCTCCGCGACGTACAAAGTTATCCCCCAGGGGGAGCCAGGCGTACGATGAATACGAAACTCCGGGACAAAAGTCCGTTCGGAAAGAAACTTCCATTTATACCAGATGCCATTCGAAAGAGACAAACTGCTAGGAGTAAGAACATGAAAACGCATACGCGCACCTACCCACGACGCCAAGTTTTACGAGCGTCCGTGAACCCCAACGGGAAGCTTTGTGGATAGGTCACGAACATCGGTGAGCAACACACGGATCGTGAACCCTAGACAGGTCGACAGCTGTAGCGACAGTCGTAATGCTGAAC